GGTATAGGTAAGCAGTAATATCATCGGTCAGAATTTAATGTCACAAACAAACTTTCAAAATTACAGGTATCAATAATCACTATTTTTTCATCAGTTACACGGTAGTCGTCCCAAACGATCAAAATGACACCAGGAAAAAAATAACGACCCTTCTCAGGACCACCATTTTAAAAACAACCGGCCCTTTAAGATTTAAGATTATCGATCCATAAAATGAACTAAATGCTCAACATATTTGTTCCGTCCACTAGCAATCCTACGTCAACCTTCAGTTCGTGCCCGTACGCACAGACCCTTGTACTTATTTTCCACACTACTCTAACGGATCTATCTAATTCTCTAAATTGATTGATGAGTATTTTAGTAGAATAATTGGATACCTTATAACGTTGTTTTTTTTTTATTCTACTACTATTGTATCACTTTCCTTTTCACTAATTCACTTTCACTGTTTACTTTCACTACCACTTTAAACTATAAAAAATACGTATATCGTTTACTACTTGTAATCTTCTTCAGTGTCTAGCCATAGAAAAGCCCAAGCGCAATGACAGCGAAAGCAGAACGGCAGCGGCAGCGGCAAAGATGGATCTGAGTAAGCCTACTTGTCGGATTGAAAACTAGCTTACTACAACTGTCAACCTGCCGTTCCCGTTCCGCTTTCGCACACCTTGCCTTTGGGTTTTAATGGGCTGTTTACATAAACGCTAGTTCACTAGCTCAGTCAGCCCAACCAACTAGCTCGAATTTCAGTTGTTTCGGAATTCTCATGCTGATACATGCTGATGCCCTGTTTATATTATGCTGGCTACTTTTTAGTACATATCTAGTACAATAGCACAGATGTAAATACCACATAAGTCTGATGTTGACATTAGTAAAGCATTTTCCTTGCAACTCTATAAAAACTGTTTTCGGGATATATTTTCAAAAAATGCTCTGTTACTCCAATACAGTGCAATATTCAATTTTAACGTCATAAACAAAGTTGATTGAAATATTGTTTTCTACAAACTTTCCCCAAGACATCAACTCTCTATCTCTACATTATGAAAACTGCGATTTTGCATCTCACTTTACGAGGGATTAATCACAAAACTGAATTCTTCAAAAGATCAACATTGCTGCTCAACTCACTCTGGTGCTATTAATTAACAGTGCGAAAAAAAGAACTTTAAACCACTGGACAATGTATTCAAATCCAAAACCAAAGGAAACTTAAATGCTCAGAACTTCAAGCATCCTAACGAAAAAAAAGTATCACCATCCAAAGTCACTACCCTTTTCTGTGTACACAAAACGGCAAAGAAAAGGCCAACATCCTCCAAAGTGCGTTGATGCGTAGCTTCTTACACACACACACATACACATATGCAAAACAGGGTGTCAGCCATCCAGTCTTCTTTTTTATTCAGCAAAGTACACCAGAATGGTTTGTGTCACTTTTGCATGGTTCCACGCCAACACACATCCGCCACAGCCCGCCTCCGGAGGTTGTATGACAAAGTTGAGAACGTGTTACACGTTCAAAAAACCGTATCCGAGGACACACACGCTCCCGTTGTTGGTTGGCGGCGGCGTTGCTTCGCTTCCCGCCACCGTTTGTAGTTGGAGGGGGGGGGGGGGGGGGGGACGGCGACCGCGTCGCTTTGTCACGAACTTTTTCACATTCAAAAACTTGGCACAAAAGTAGACATACATGCAGTGATGCCACATATACAGATTTATCTGTAATCATACAGATTTTTTTCAATATTTTGATACAGATATCTGTATATACAGATTACAGATTTTTGAAAAATATACAGATTTTTCAAATAAAGTGAATATATTTTGTATTGCTTTTTAATAGATATATAATTCCAATAAATAATCGTTTCTTCCTTTTGAGCACCCTCTTGAATTCAATCTGAGCATCAAACCCAAATCGTATTTTTCACTAAATAATTAGGTAGGCGAATCCAGTAGAATCTAAGCGATTGTTTCAACCTCTGGCGGTGAAAAGGGGAACCCTCAAAAGAGTGATGAGTGTGGCAATTTTCACCATGAAGCATTGGAAGAAGGCAATAATTTCACCTTTCCTGATTAATTTATCCCCCGCCGGTGCTTAAAATCATCATCCACGTGGAATATTTTGTTTTCTGTATCGGGTTTGCAGTGATCCGGCTGGTGCTTCCATATATTTTTGATGAGAAAAATTAAGATTTACAAAATTATCTCATCGGTTATCGAGGCGGTTATGATCTTCCGGATTTTTAATGTGTGGTTATTTCAGCTGGAAATCAGTTCAACTCTGTAGATAATCGAAAAATACGAACACACCCGATGGAAATTTTCAAGTTGTACATTTTTTGAAATTTTGAAAATCGTCATTATGATGTAAACAAATGGATTGGATGACATTTCCTTTCAAAATCGGCTAGCTCACTCTACATTGATGGTGCATGAAAAGAGCCTATTGTTTTAGCTTCGAATGGACTTGGAATCTTTCGAATGGACTTCTGATTTGTTCAGATGTTCTGATTCAGCCGGCGCCGGTGGTGTAGTGGTAAGCGTGACTGCTTTCTAACACCCCAATGGGTCTGGGTTCAATCTCCAGCCGAGGTCAGTGGGATTTTTCTGAGGCATAAAAATCTCTGGTCACGTCTTCCTTCGGAAGGGAAGTAAAGCCGTTGGTCCCGGCCCATGTGTGTTGTGAATGGGTGCGATATCCTACGCAGGTGTGGAAGCTGCCTTCCTGCACATTCGGTTGCCGTCAATGGATGGCAATCGATGTTCGTCGGTGATTGGCACTAGATTGCGGAACAGAGACCGACGTTAAATAAAGGAAAAGATGTTCTGATTTCTCGTTGGAAGGAATATTAATTTCCCTTTCTATTTGTTTAATTAACCATGTCGCATGGTGACAGATACGAAGATTAATTAAATATATTTTGTCAACTCGGTAAACAAGCCATTTTAGAAAACCCACAAAGTGGTTGATTACAGCTTGTGAGTAGAAGAATCAACTGGATATTTTTATATTTTAAAATCGAATTACAGAAATTGCATGCAATTCGACCAAACGTCCTGTAAAAGTTCTGTGTTATGTCCAATGTCCAGATAAAGCTTTGCGTAATCATAAATTATTCAAAGTCTAGGGAATTGTAATAGTTACTTCATTAAGAAAATTTTCAGTCGGAAACAGATTTGTCTCTTACAACTGGTACTTAATGTTTTGTATTTTCAGACAGTAGAAGAAATACAAAACACTACAAAAAATTAAGATGTTAGGATTTCAAGATTTTTGAAATAGACAAATTCTTTAGAAAGCAAACTTTAGTAATTTTTCATGATTCTTAACATTGAACAAACTCCTTCTGAACTATGAATTTGCTCAATGGAGATTTACGTAAATCCGCACTGAGACCATAATTTAGAAATTATACAGATTTTTTTACAGATTTTTGTCAGGTAGATACAGATTAAAAAGATTTTGTGCGATGAAATACAGATTGAGCTCTGAAAAAATGTGGCATCACTGCATACATGATTGTAACAGCATCAAAACCATGGTCTGTACTTTCGCAGCAACCTTCGCCAGAAGGACGACGACGATGACGACGATGACGACGATGATGATGATGGCGTAAAAATGGTACTCGATGTTTACTAGATCGCTGCTCAGGTGGTCGTTCCATGACGACGGTGAATGACACCCCGTTGATGATCACGGCGATTACGTCGATTAAACGGTTGCTTGCTACGATGTGTGATGCCAGCTGTCGGTCTCCTCTTTGAGGGGAAGGCGTTGTGCAGTAAGTCTTTTAAATTCATCTCAAGCATCCCTATCTGATTGCCTTCATACATATTCACTTTCCTGGAACGGAGCGTGGTCCTTCCTTGAAACTCTTTTCCCACATTTCCTTTTGAAGTTACACCGCATGGGGAAGCTTTTACAATTGGCAACATTCGGTTTCCTACACACTTTCTTCTCCTTCCTTAATGGATTCCGTTTCCTTTCTCCGATCGACCGACCGACCGACATAGTGTCAAACCAAATTTCCCCCAGCAGGTAGACCCCTCGTACGACAGCGAAAACAAAATGGGCCATACAATTTTGGTAGCGAAATTTATGCTAATGTTCCGCCCCAGCCCCTCGTCACAAGTGGTAGGAGGGGCAGGAACAAATGATTATCGTTTTCGGTTCGGGACAGATGGACGAACCTGATGTAGGCTATGTAATTGTTTCTAAGCTTTGTTGCCATCGCTAGGAAAAGGCCTTACCGGACGGCAGGACATGCGCTGAAAAAGGTGATTGGTCGGGATTTCTTACAAGCTATTGGACCTTAATGTTATAAAGGCCATGTTGTTTGTTCCTCCATGCTATGTACCGTTATAGTCCGAATGCCAGATGGTTCATATACATATACATATACCATGGTTGATTCATTTTGACGCAGGACTACGTCTGTGATTTCTATATGGGGGTACACTTTGTGAAAACCGAAAATGGAACATGTTACAAAATTATGAAAGATTTTGAACGTTAATAACTCAGCTACCCCTGAACCAATAACAATAATGTTATTACCTACGCATCAGTTAAATTTAAATCATTATCATTTTCCAATATATCACTATTGAAAATTGCATAAATGTGCAACTGTTAATATGATAATTAAAATTATCACTGATTGCCGGTTAAAAACGATTTCCCTAACACAGATCTCAAAGCTGAATTCCGGTCTCACCAAACGGTGTTTATTCAATCACCGCTTGGTGAGTGGTGGTGTTCTCCAGTACACAACGAAAGGCTTCCTACAAGCAGTTAGCTACCAAGGCTGGCCTCAACCACTGATCGGATTCAGTTCCAATCACCGGTGGTGGTGTCCGGTCGTTGGCATCAGCTGCAGCAGCAGCAGTGCTTTCGGCGCGTGGTGTAGAACATTGTTCTCCAATACACAACGAAAGGCTGAGAATCCAATTTCACTGGCGTCGACAAACGTATGCGTGCGAATGCTTTGAACAGCACTCCGGAAGATCATCATCTCTACGTCGGCCCCGGTGGGTAATGATAATGAAAGAGTGGTCCGATCTGCTCCGGGAAATCAAACAGTGCACCGACGAGGACGAGATGGAGTTTTGCGAGGACTTTGCCAAGCTGCAGATGATTTTCAACCACACGAATCAGTTTGTGCGGACGTTCGATAAGATTGTGTTCCATGGAGGTAAGACGTTCGGCGGGTTTGTGAGGGTGTTTGCACTAAAAGTTTGTTTTTTATTTGGACAGGAAATGAACCGTACATCATCGAGATTGTGGCGCGGCTGGTAAAGTACCTCCGGGTCCGGCGCTACCTGAACGAGAACAACAAACCGATTAAAGAATGCGAGCATCAGCTGCGGAAGATTACGCTGTTTATGGTGCTGAATACGGACGTCAGTTTCAAGTTTGACTTGTCCAGGGATACGAAGCTGTGCCACCTGCTGAATACGGTTCCCCAGCTGACGAAATGCCTGCTAATCAATTGCATTTGGGGGGCCAGTTTGGATGAGTACTTTTACGAGATTCTGTCGTACACGCCACAGTGGTTCATGATGCAGTTTATGGACCAGGCGGTAACCAGTTTGAAGTTTTCGAAGCCGTTTGAGATTCTGGAACGAGTGGAATCGATGGCAAAGGCGATCTACTTCAGCATCTGCCGGACGGATAACGATTGGAAGAAGGTCGATCGAAATCGGTTTGTCGAGCAGCAGCGAACGCTTTCAAAGTTGTTCGACTATTTGATGGAGCTGCTGCGGTTCTTCAATACTCCGGATACGGGCAAGTTCGAGCGGTGGTCCCGGTTGAGTATGCACCGGTATTATGGATTTGCGTTGAAGCACATGTTCAGCATCGTGTTGTACTGTATGGATTTGTATCTGAACAAGAGCCTGTTCAAGGTGGACGAGAAGATGGCGATCTACCAGATTATGGACGAGAAGCACGTACCGAAGAAGGAGATCCCGGAACAGTACTCCCAAGGGACGGATGGACATCTGATGAAGATCAACAACTGCCTGCTGAATACTTTGCAAACCTGCGTGATGGAAGTGACCGTCGATGGGTTTATGTACTGGGTTGAGATTGACGTATCCGTGGGAGCGAACGGAGACAAGGTCACCCTGCAGCAGTTCATCGGCGAATCGGCATTCAAGCTTTGTGACATGCTCAAAGACAATGAGATCCTTAAGCACAACGTTCTAAAACAGTTGCCAGCCATCTCTCTGCGGCCGAAATCCCAAGCCGAAAAAGCCATGGAACTGTCTATGCGAGACCTGATGGAAAAGCTCGAAACCTGCCGGGAGCTGTTCGAACGGAGGCTCTTCTTCAACGAATTCCTCCGCCGCGGTGCTCAGGTTTTCGGCAACTTCGAATGTCTGGACCTGATCGATCAGAACATGGACCTCATTTCCGGCGATAATGTCCGGAAGCTCATCGAATACGACAATCGACCGCTAGACGAAGACGAAATGGAGCCGGACGGACCTTCCGAAGAGGCAGCGAAACTCCGCGAATTGATCCTGAAATCGATCGATTACCTTCTCCTCGAGGAAGCCAACACCCTGATCAAGTTTATGATCGCAACCTACGGGCTGGAGTACGATCGCTACCAAACGCCCACCCTCGTCGAAGAGATCATCGAGTACACCAATCGCTTCAACTCCAGTTCCATGCATCTCGGCGACGACGAATCCGACATCCCGCTGCGGCTTATCTTCCAGTGTCCCTCCTTGTTCTACCAACGGCTGACCCGTTCCCTGTACGATACGGGCTTCAACAATGCCAACTACATCTTCACCATCACCCAGGTGATCGCCAAAATCAAATCCTTGTCGGTGCCCTATCTCAGTGCCCAAGTCCGCTCCCTTCTGTCCGGTCAGTTCGAAATCACCAAATCCAACTTCCTTTCCGTGTTCGTCCTCAAACTCTTCGGGCTGGACCTCTTCGAGCGGAATCACTTCCTTCAGGGCTATCTCCTGCAAGGCGTCGACGAAGCCTTCCGCCAGTCCAACCTGATTGCCTTGACCGAAGTGCTCGGTCTGATGCATCTGGTCATCGACAAGAATCTCAACGGGTTCAAACTAGATTCGCTCAAACAGGTCACCCTGAAGCTGGCGGAAATATCCGAAAAACTACGCTACGACGTTACCAAACTGGAACCGACGCACCCGCACGGAATCGAGCGCATCACGCTGCTCGAGAAGATCCTAAAGATCATTCCCGAACCGGTGCGGATGCTGCGATCGCTGAAGGAAGAATGTAATGCATATGGCAGGCTTGGGTGATTGCTGGAAATTAATTTTAAACTTTTTTCTTTTTCCAGCCAAGTGTTACGCGATCGGGGAACTCCTGAGCGTGATAACATTGAGGTATTTGTACGCTTTCGACATCAGGTCACGCAACCAGGTTTGCCACTTCGAAAACAATTCGTCGTTAATCTCCTCATCCCTTTGGGCTCCTGAGCGCCATATTTCCTGCAGTATGACCTTCAGGTAGATGAAAAAGTGGGCAATCAAACCAAGAGGATCGAAGATTGACATGAGCACCCTCAGTACTTCGCGCTTCGTGGGACGTCGTTGTCCTTCCAGCAGCGCTTTGTCATAGCGAGTCCATCCTACCTTGAACGTGAACGTATCCTTATCAGTGCACCACCACAATCCTAGCACTTTTTCCGTAGCCACTTCTGCCGTCAAGCCCAGATTCTTTACCTTCGCGTCGTCTTCTCCCAGTGACTTCAGAACCGCTGGGGAATTACATATCCAGTTGCAGATCTCGAATCCATCTTGGGAGTGGACGTACTTGACTTGGTTGGCTAAATGCACAGCTTCCTTTTCCGTGCTTACGCTCACCAGCATGTCATCCACGTAGTGCTGTTTGATGATGGCGTCGACTGCTTGTGGATACTTCCCAACAAACCGCTCCGCATTCAGATTCTTAACGAACTGTGCGCTGCTGGGTGAGCAGCACGCACCGAAGGTCATGACGCACATTTCGAACACGACGACTTTCCCAGATTCGTCTGTCCAAAAGAACCGCTGACATGGCCAATCCTGTTCCCGGATCTTCACCTGGTGGAACATCTCGCGTAAATCACCGGTTAGCCCTATCGAGTGTTCTCGAAATTGCAGAAGAATGGAGCAGAGCGAGCACAATTGGTCAGGGCCCTTCATCAGAGTGGAATTCAGCGATACTCCGAAGATCTTTGCAGCTGCATCTCACACTATTCGCACTTTCCCGGGCTTGTTGGGATGAAACACCGGAAATACCGGTAGGTACTAGGCACGTGAAACAGGTCGATCTTCTTCTTCCTTGGTCAGCTGTCGTATGTATCCTTTCGAAAGATATTCTGCAACTTTCTGGTTCAGCAAGCTATGCCGGTGTAATGCCATTGGCCGACTGTCGGGTTGACGGATGTCGTCGTAACGCCAAAGTAATCCTGTTTCGTACCGGTCACCCTTGAGACTGGTTAGCGATTCCAGCATTCTACAGCTTTGTTGATCCTCGGAGGACAGCAGCGCATCTCGATTCCAGCGCTTCACTCGATTTCATCACACCAAGACTGTCGACTGTCGTGGAACGAGTAGTGTACCATGTTAGGCGCATTTTCGCCGTTGCTTTCACGGCTGAAAGTCTCTATAATAAAGAAATCAATCAATCAATCGTTGCTTCCACCACACACGGTCCACCCCAATCGCGTCTTGATTGCAATTGGTTGTTCCTGCTTTCCTTCTCGGTTCCGCAGTACGAGACTAACGTTCGCGTGCTTCAGGCCGATCAGAATTCGTGGTCGGGCGTCTTCGTATGACTCGATGGGTAGGCCACGCAGATACGGATACTGTTCCTTCAACCTTCCTGCGTCTAGGGATTGCCGTTGCAACTGAAGCTCTTTCACCGTTCGCACTTCATTTAGTTTGAACATCTTTGCTCCGTCGTGCTTGCCCGCAATCGAAACGGTAGTGATTAAGGAGTCTCTCTCGCAACGCTCAGTGCAACCGGTCCAGCGAAGATGCAGGGGGCTTTCCACTCCATCCAATTCGAGCTTGTCAGCTAGGTCTTGGTCCATGAGGGTAAGCTTTGAACCTTCGTCCAAGAATGCGAACGTCTGCACGTACCCGCTCTTTCCGTGCAGTGTGACTGGGATGTAACGGAATAGAGAAGTGTTGGAGCTAGATGTCTTGATGAGCTCGCATCCTGTCGATCTGGCTGACTTTCGTCGGTCATCGGGTCCGCATCCTTTTTGCTTTGATTCAACAGCGACGACACAGACTGAAGTCGTGCACCACAGCCCACCGGGAATCTCTCGATAACTCCAAGAACTGTTTGCATTTTTCAATTGCTTTGCCACTGGACTTGAAAACCGGGCACTCGTTGTTCGAAGGTTTATGAACAGTCTCCTTCCACGAATGCGATTCTGCAGCATTGAAGTCCAAATGCGCGTTAACACTCCGAATACGATGCCTCCGAAAAACGTGTAACGGCAAGTTTGCAATGGCATAACTTGGCCATTTCTTAATGAATTTCAAAAATTATGGTACCTTTAGAATTCCTAGGATTTGTAGATTGTTTTGATTGCAAAAAGATTGAAAATAGAGTGTTACTGCCTAGCCAGAAGGGCTAGTCTAAAGGTTCCCCTAACCTCTGGTCTAGCCACGGAGGTCGTCTGGGGTGGGCTACATCCGCCTCTTTTTACTGGCTAGCTCGAGCTTGAGGCCTCTCACTCTCAGGGTCGGCTTTTGTCATGGAATCGCTATCCAAGAGTCCAATCTTTCATAGATTAAACGACACACAAATTCACTTTAATCCTTTTTATTTCTTAACTAACACTTACAGTGGGTTGGGTGTGTAATGGTTGGCCGGCCGGCTGCTGAGGGGACACGTGGTCGCGGGCGAGTGGTCGGGGGGGACCGTGATGATACTTGGCGCCGTCGTCTGGTTGGGTGCGCTCAGGGAACCAGTCCGTGTGATTGACCGTGGTTCGGGCTACGGCCAGGGTTACCGTCGGGCGTGGCTCACACAGGGAAACAGCACGCGATGTCGGGATGAGCGTCGTCGGTTTAACCTCAAAACTCGAGGGCCGGCTTGGATTGCCGAGATTTGGTCCACAAGGGAGTAACACTGGGAGCTAGCGTGGGTCTTCGCGTCCTGATTGGCAACAAAACACAAGCCGATAAACTTCAGGATACGCACGGTACAGACTAATCCCTTTGGTTCCGTGGGTGTCTGGGGAAAAACGGCCACAATCGCTCACGAGGTTCTAGTTTCGTCCTTTTAATGTTGCACGATGATCCGTTCACTTCCGTGGTACTTTGGAAAATGCTTCGATTGTTGCTCCAGTCCCAGTAGCTAGCCCTTTTCTTCTTCTCCTTTTTCTGTTCCTTCCTTTTTATTCGTCCTATATCCACCCGCGACAATCCAATAACCGTCCCCTGCAGCAATTTTAACGTGTTGTTGTGTGTACTAAATGTGTATTTTAACAAACTTTGTTCTTGCTTTTATTATGCATGTATATATATAACATTTTAACTTGTAGAGTGTGCAGGTAACTTGTATATTCCTAACAAGAAGTTTAAATTAACTATCATATTTATGTTTAGACATATACACATAAAAATTAGACATTTAACAATTAATAATTGAAATTTTAATACGAATAGTTTTTTATTAGGCAAACAAGTTGGGATATTACGTCGCAACGGTAACAAGAGTCGGCTACTTTTTTAAAAAGCGAAAAGAGTTGTTACACGTTTTTTTTAAAAGAGTGTTTGTAGGGTTTTGCAAGTGGCGCAAGATCTGTAATTTAGATTAATGGGCACAAATGTTCACAATTAGCCACAAAACAGTCATGGTTCCTTTATATGGATCCTGGAGACAACGGAACGGTCCTCAATAAATGAATCTGATCCTAGAGCTCTGCAGTTTTTTTTTTAAACATTAGGAACTGTGATATAAAAAAAAATATTTGGGGTCGTGATATAAACATGTACCTGGATGGCCATGAGACCGTCCTCCGGAAGATCCGGAACATCCGTAAAAGTGGACAATCCATGAAACTGATCCTAGAGCTCCGCGTTTTTTTAACATTAGGATCTGTGATATAAGAATGAATTTGGGACATGGACTCAGATGGCCATCGGACCGTCCAGCGAAAGATCCGGAACATCCGTAAAAATAGTAAACCCACGATCCTGATCCTAGAGCTCCGCATTTTTTTTAACATTAGGAACTGTGATTATAGAAGCAATTTGGGGTTGTGACATAAACATGAACCTGGATGTCCATGGGACCGTCCTCCGGAAGATCCGCAACATCCGTAAAAGTGGTCAATCCATGAAACTGATCCTAGAGCTTCGCAGGTTTTGAAAAACACTAAGAACTGAGATGATACAAAGAATTTGGGATCGTGACATAAACATGGACCTTGATGGCCATGAGACCGTCCTCCGGAAGATCCGAAACATCCGTGAACGTGGAAAATTCACAAAACTGATCCTAGAGCTCCGAGGTTTTCTTGAAAACGTTAGGAACTGTGATATTAGAATGAATTTGGGATCGTGACATAAACATGCACCCAGATGGCCATCGGACCGTCCTCCGGAAGATCCGAAAAATCCGGAAAAGTGGTCAAGGTATGGAACTGATCCTAGAGCTCCACGGTTTTTTCAAAAACACTTGGAACTGTCATATATAAATTAATTTGCGGTCGTGACATAAACATGTACCTAGATAGCCATGGGACCGTCGTCCGGAAGATCAACAACATCCGTAAAATGGTCACTCCATAAAATTGAGAGGTGGAAGCATTACTATGACGAGCACCTCAACGGTGATGCAGCAGAAAACGAAGGTGGCACGGAAACAGACCTTGGAGCACGCGCAGAAGACGACAGGCTACCGGCCCCTGATTTTCAAGAAGTTGTTATATACCATAAGTCATCAAAAGGATGTTAAAATTTTCTGACCTGGAGGAGGTTTTATGTTTTCATTTTTAACAACCACGAGTAGAGTGTGACAAAACTGACATAAAACCTATGCTCCTAAGGTAGTTTGCATATCAAGTTTTAATGATTGCATTAAATCTGGGCCAATTGGCCATGACATGGCTGTATAGCGGTTCTCAGGAGGTTGTTAAAGCAATGTTGTCGTCAGTGAAGGTTTTATAATTTGGTTATATCAACTGCTATAAAACTTCAATAAAACAAAAATTGTTGCTTGGGCACTGTTCTAAACGTTTTCAAAAAAACCACGGAGCTCTAGGATCATCAAGGTTCGTGTTTATGTCACAACT